CCGTGCTGCTGACAAACGGCATAAGTATGCTGATAAAGGACACCAGAAATCAACCCGACTCAGTGGCGCTACTCGGTCATGACAGAATTAATTGTGAACAGTGTGACGGCTGCTCGAGAATTGGTTCGGGCAATCCAGAGACACTAAAATGAGTCATACAGACGGACTTTACGGTGAAAATCTTGAGGGTCAATAACTTCAGTCCATTTTTAGGAGTTTGTATTGTAATTTGTGTGCCCGTGTTAATTAACGCTGTCTAACTCAGCATTTGTTCCTTGTTATCTTCATATGATGAAAATACTTCAAGCCGCTAGTAGAATGAACCCTCACCACAACGCACCTGTGCGGCGGGCCATTATTCAAGTATGGTTAACAACAGTTGTGTGCAATATATGAGCGCTTTTTTCAGAAAACTCTAGCAAAAGATGGACGTGAGAAGGTCGAAAGACATCAAGAATGACATCTGTTTCATCCTCAGCAACATGGGGACCACAGTGCTAGACGTCTCAATGCTGAGGAGGTTTCATGCATAAGGGATCGTATGTTCGTTAGATGGAAAGTGTGTCAGCTGGAGTCAACTTTAGAGGGAAGGAAATTGACGAGGGCGAATGCAGTATACATGACATAGAGACACGAAAGAAAAACTAACCGTTATCCCAGCTCAAATTAAATAACCCATTCTACGTCCTTCACGGAATAGAAGAAGGAGGAAGAGGATAAACAATGTACCAGGATATAACGAAGGCGTTAAACACCTGTTGAAGAAGATCGACGACAAAATGACGAAAAAACACAAAAGCTCATGAAGAAACGAAGAAAATGAGGGCAGCAGCAGATCAGCAATAAAATAAGGAATGCGTTGAATTTTGCAAAACTTTAAGGAAATATAGGGGAAGATGTCTGAGCATTCAGCTGCAGATTGGTTAAAGAAAACTGTTGAAGACACCTGAAACGTTAAGAAATTGAATCAATTGGCAAACAAATTTAGCTCTCAAAGAAGAAAACATCAACGATAGACAAAAGATTCTAAAGAGCTTGTACCATTTCTGTAGAAAAACTGAAGAAAACATCAACGATAGACAAAAGATTCTAAAGAGCTTGTACCATTTCTGTAGAAAAACTGTAATGATGAAGATGGCAGCATCCTTGGTGACGATATGGACGTTGAAGATGCAAATGACGTTAATGAGGATCCAGATGTCTTACCAGAAGAAGTGTGGCATACGACGAAAGGAAGGGCTTCCTCTTAAAATGGCATTAATGTGGAACTTCTGGAATATCCAAATCGCTGAAGAATTAATTCAGAACTATTTTTTAATTCATCTT